GTGTCTCATGTAGGTCGTTCCCATGAGCGGAGTGATGCCGTCGTTAAGTCCCCAGGCTCCGTTGGTTGGGAATGTGTCGCGAGTTGCTACCGAGGTAAGCTCTCCCATTGTCAGAGCATCAAGCCCTGCCGAGTCTTTACTTAGGAGAGGAAGATACAAGGTATTAATCGCATTGATTACCTCTGTTAGCTACTTTTCTTCGTGCCATAATTTCATCTTCGTTTCAGATGTTGGCAAGGAAATCGGTGAAGGCCGATGTACGTCTTTGCCGATCTCGTAACCAGTCGGAGGAAGAGGACGTCAAAGAGGTATACACCTAAACTTTATTGAAGATTGTTTATCTATCGTTGGAGTATTTTATCATGTATCACAAGACTTCGTCTCTTTCCAGGAAGCAGAGACCGTGTTGGACGAGAGTGAAGAAGAGGCTCCGGAGGTTCGCGAGCATGCTCCGAAAGACCAGAACACTTCCTCCACGAAGAAAAGAGCCCCAAGTTCCACGAAGATTGCGGGCCCGTCACTCGACGGAGGTTCGGAGCGTGAGGAAGTAAGTCATTGTACTCACCCTATTTTATTTTATTTAATATCCTCATTGTTGGAGGCTGATATTCTCTAATTGCTTTCTTCTTAGAATACCTCGCCAGGTTTGGAGATTCACGCTGGTGTCACCATGGAGCAAGTTGACAAGGCAGTAGGCAGGATTTCAATGGAGGAAGGGCTAACTCCACTCCGGAGAAGCTAAAAGTCCAAACGCCTGCTGCTTTAGAGAAGATTGATGTCTCGGATAGCTTCGATGGTTCAGCTGGCTCCAAGGGCGAAGCAGTAGTCATCAGCTGGTTATTCCGGAGAGAAGATGCACATTGATCAGCTCGTCTTCGCACAGACTGATGGAGGAAGTGCGGAGACCATGCCTGAAGAGGATTCATTCCCGGAGCAGCTTGTAGCTTTCTTGTCAAGCTTGGACTTTGGCGAATCTGCGGCTCAGAGCATTGAAGACATCGTTCAAGTGGGTGGGGAGCGAGAGAACATCTACGGGATGAGCGTGCCCACGGAGACAGCGCCTTTTTTGACTTCTTTCCTCCCGTCACCTAGATGCTTTGTCGTCGAAAGTATGTACTTCTCTGAGATCGATCTCAAAACGGTTGAGAATAAAAAAGAAAAAGAAAAAGAAAGAATAAAGAAGAAGAGAATAGAAAGTTGTGTGTAAACTTAAGAGAAAAATGTTTTCTATTAATTGTATTTTCTCATTACAGTACAAGAATGATGCTGCAACTTTACACATAAAGCTAAGAAAAGAATACCACCTATACACGTGTCCTGTAGAAGGACTATGGACCACTTTATTAATTAAAACGAAGAATTAAAACCAATAGAGAATCAGCAGGATTAATAATTTTAGATATAGTAAAAAGTTTTTAATTTTAATTTTTTTTACAGTTAAAATTTCTTAAAAATAGTTATATTTAACTTATTTATTATAATTAAAAAAATTTATATAAAATTACATCTTAATTTAAATTAAAAATTTAAAT